TTAATAATAGGGGCTGGAGACACCCAAACCACTGAAGAGATGAGTCCACTAAACAAAGTTTTTTTGCATATTAAAAAATATCTTTCTAGAAATTCTGGATTTGTTTCTTCCACCACTATTTTTTGGGAGAGAGGGTTGTTTAAAGCTTTACTTTCTTAGATACACGGTCATATGAGTCCAGAGGAACATCAGAAGTTGTGGCTGTGACCCACTCCAAGCATAGCTGGATCCCTGCATTCATCCCCGCACTCAAGCATTAAGGTCAACATTTCCAAAGTTAATATCCTCATTTCAGGTCTTCCACATAACTGCAATTCCTGCTGCCTGCAGCTGGTCTTACCAAGTAAGCCGCCTAACCTCATGTGTAATGTCACCCCATACATCTCTCTACGTTGTCTCTCTTTCAGCACAGGAAAGGAGGCAGCTCTGGCTGGCAAGTATTGCTGCAGTTTTCCAGCACTAAAATCCAGATAATCCAAGGTGCTTAAAGTAAAGATGCTGCTTGTAACCTCCACTTACACTTTACACTTACTCTGCTGTGTGCTTGTAAAAACAGAATTACTTCAGGAATGTTTTACTGAATGAGCACTTAGGCATTTTGATTTTTTTTTTTTACTGTGTCAGCAAAACAGCGGGGTGTATGATCAGTGCTTGACAGCTTGGGTAATTCAAATGCAAATGTATAAACCCTGTCAGTCAAGGGAGAAACAGGCAATTAAATAAAGACATCTCCCACGACAAGGGCAATTAAATGGTCTGCTTTTCCTCTTACAGTGCAAAGATGTTCCTGTATTTCCTGTCACTTGCTGAGCCAGCTTTGGCTTTGAAGTCTAGGCTAGCAGCCGAGGTGTCACCTCTCCCACAGGTACTCTTATCCCCTTTCCCCTTACACCAAGGAGGAGGAGGGCAGTCCAGCAGGCAAACACAAACTCCTTCTTTGCTGGGATGAGCTGAGCAACAGCTGAAGAAATCCACTGCCTTGACAGAACAGAGCAGCATGGCAGACAGATGTCCTTCCCCTGCCAACCTGATTTACAGTCCTTCTAAAACACACAAACACACACCCATCAACTGCTTGTTTCCTTGCTCTTGTACACTCAGTCCTCCTGCCTTATCACTCATGGAAGGTGGCCTTAAGCACATCACAGGCCTTAACCCTCTCCTGGCTGCTCTGCAAATTTGCCAAGCTTGCAGGAAAATGGGTCTCGCTGACAGCTCACACTGCTTCTGTGAATGCAGCTAGACAGATACAAGTACCATGCAGCCAGGGGAGTATTCCCACAGAAAATACATTTCTAATATTAACTCTTTTTTTGCTCTTTCTTGCATATTTTCAAACAATTTAATCTTGGTCTGTTGCAATCTGATGATTGAACACAAAGCCAACCTAGGCACCTGGGGATTCTTTGGCTATGTCCTACCTAACCAAAGCTGTGCAGGCATGCTCATCTATGTCTACATGCATGCAGAGCACCTTGCAGGCTTGGAGGCTCCCACTGCAGGGAAAGCTGAGATCAGCAGTTTGTCCCTCTGCTTCTCTTTGAGAAAGGCTTATAAGTGAGCAGCCCCTCTGGACAACCACTAGGTCTTAGCGAGTCAAACCACTGAGCAGCTTTAGGTGCTCTGTATTGGATGCTGACACTTAGCTGAGTATTAGCAGTCACCAGCAGATGATGGATTTGGTATTATTAGTCCTGCCTAACATGTGGGAAAGTGGAAATGGAAGGAATCAATGTATAACACTAGAAAGTATACTGCTGTAACCATAATGTGGACTGTGCAAAAATCTATTAAAACTGGGCCTTTTGTTTTCAGAAGGTGATCCAAATCAACAGATTTGTACAACTGTCGCAGCACATAGCATACGTGCCTCGCTGTTCTCTTGCATACTGTATTTGTCCATCACACCTACCCACTGCCTTTAATATTGTGGTCCCATCTTTGGAAATGACCCTGTTGTATCACACACCAATGCTTTCTTTACACAGCAAATTTCTGACCCCTGCGATGCAAGGTCTCTCTAGGCATTACCACGATACCTTCAGTAATGCCAACAGTTGTTCCCATTCTCTTTTGGCAATGGAAGGATACTGGAACTGAAGTGGGTTTGTCATTATTTTTTGCAGAAGATGAATTATAAGTAAAATGTCTGTGGTGCACTGACAAATCTCCCTTTTCTTGGAGACAGTACCATGTTTGTTATTCACAGCAGGTAGTTTAGGAGTTTTTCTCTCCCATGGTCTATGGCTTCAAATCATGAGAACAAGGACATTCACATACTTTATGTGAGCATCTCAGGTAGGATTCACATCACTGAATGTTAGCCATCTCAAATATGAGCATCTAATCCGTGCTAAACAGCAAGGCTTCCTCTATTTCTAAGGAAGGATATAGGTATCCTCATACGGTGGTTTATCCTCTCTCCTCTGGAGGTACCTCTTTCCATGCTCTAGGAGACACTTTGCTGACTATCCTGGAGCGTCTCCTCACTTCAGACAACAAAAGCCAAGTGAGATGTGCCATGTCTGAGCTGGACTCCTGAATCATCATGTTACCCTGTTCTCACCACCATGCAGATGTCTTCTGCAGATGTTTCCCTGCAGGGCTGAGCTGCCACTCATCCATTGTACAACACCACATCTGACCTTGGATATGGCTGTCTAAGACAACAGCCAGTGCCGGGCTCAGCATCTCCCTAACCCAGAGGCCACAGCAGTATGTGAAGGGCTGCTGGTTCCTTCTCAGACTCAGGCAGGCATCACCATGCTGGTCACAGTCAACTTGCATCCTGGAAGATTTCCCTGTACATTTTAAGTTAATTTCCCTAAAGACATGATTAATACTGGGGCCTAGAGTTCACAGTGACAGTTTAAAAAAAAACATTAAAAAATAGGCTAACTGGCTGTGAGCTGACAAAATATAGACTGTATTATTTTATAACAAAATTATCACAGCCCAGCAGTTAATATACCAAACCAGAAACTTCAGCAAACATAATAGATAAGGGCCATTTGTAGTTCTGTGAGCAGCATTTAAAATTCATAGAACTAATAAAGGTAAAAGTTTCATTATTATCTCCTTCTGGAATGGACAAGAGATGCATTAGAAGAGGGTAGAATGATACCTTGAAAATGGGGACATAAAGTTTTCTCCCACATGCTTGTCTGTCTCCCTTACAGCCAGGTGGCTTTGAGAAAAGTGGTAATATTTGATCACCAGTGCAGCACAATGGTTAACAGGATACAGATAAAGCTGAAGTTCAGAATTTAGTCACCAAACCTGAAGCTTGCCACAGCTGCTATTTTCTATACTCTTCGCTCACTTCAGGCAAAAAACTCTATTGATGTGTTGCTCAGTAAAAGCATTTGCATTGTTTACTTTTTGTGGCACATGGTCAGAAAGCAACAAATCTCTCTAATTCAATCTTCTTTATGATGCATTTTTCTTTCCCTGACACCCCTTAAAACAATTTATATTACAGCTTTGTAAAGATGAGTTTGCTGGAGAAATAACTTACTATTTTCCTGACATTTTCTTCGAGCAGTTGGGGGGGAACCAGCCACCACATGAAACTAGGGAATAAAAGTGTAGGTAGTCCTTTACTAGGGCATTTGTGGAGTTTTTGTGTTTTCTCAACATTTTTAGAGCAAATTGCTTGAAGACTTTTGCCTACATATAGGTCTGTTTATCATCCGCTATTGGGCAGAGAGTGCTATTTTCATAAGTATCCTGACGTGGAGAAACTGCTAAACATATTGACTAGCCTGTCTCTGAAACATTATGGAGTCTGCTTTTATTAAGACCACATACTGTATATTGAAATATGTGTATGAACTACCTTGGAAATTGAACAATATAGTCTGACGTTTTATAGTACCTTAAGAAGGGAGACACAGAGTGGCATGCAAGGAACTACTTAAAGCAAACCCAGTTTCATTTCTTAGTGAACAAGAAATACCACCCCCAGCTCCTTTTTGGGCAAAACAAAACTGAAATAAGTTTTCTTTTTTGAAATCCTAGTACTTCGATAAGACTTTATAACTTTAGCATGATAAGAGTGTATTCCTTAATCTCTTTCTGAAGCACCAAATCAGAAACAAAATATCCTAGCTTCTATGATGTACATAGGAGTTTCTGTATAAAACAACAGTCTAATAAAAACAGTCTAATAAATATTTAAAACCTTTCCAGAAAGGTAGACTTCATCCTTCTAAATAGCATTCAAATTAAAATTAAAATGTCTTTGAATTTAAATCTGAATGCTTTGAGAGTTTTCTAAAGCCTCACAGAAATCTAAAATAGAGCTGGCTTATTAGAAGCAGCTCATTTGTTAACGTCAAACTTAGTCTTGCATATTCTAAAATAGCATAGCTACAGGTTATTTTATCAAACAGTATTGGAAGACAAAGTTTCCTAACCAACAGCACAGATCAGTTTTGATTGGCTAAGGGGTCAATGGTTTAATCAAGGGAAATATATTGTCTCTAGTGAACTGAGATTCGTGGCTTCAGGCATCCTCATTTCAATATTTGGAATATATTTTATGAAATATTGCCTCGTGTAATTAGCCTTAAGGAAGCAAACCACTAGAAAGAACTGATTCTAACTGTGCTTTAAACTGCTGCTGCAGTACCTTTACACTTCATGAAATATGGTTCAATTATCTTCTTGGCAAATTTGAACATGCTAGCTTTCAACAGAGCTTCGTTAATGGTATTTTCTCTCTCTGGTCTTTAGCTTGATTTGCTCTTGTTTTTCTTTTAATTAAGCTAGACTGTTAGCTAAACTGCACAAGCAGTTTAAGCTAGAAAAAGTATTCTGTGTTCAGCCTGCATCCTACTCAAGTTGTGTGCTCATAACTATCAGAAAATAAAATGAAGTTGTTCTTTTCCCTCATTAGGTTAAAAATCATTGCTACCTGAAAATATGCATTTGTAATAATGTATTTTATGGACTTGTCATTAGGCAGGCTTCTTTTCAAGCTACAGCAGCTAGCTTACCTGTCAGCTGAGAGAGCAGTGAGAGTAAAGACTGACACCCCTACAGAGGTGAGCTGTATGAAGGGGATAAGTTTGCATCCAGTTCTGCCAAACAGCCACTCGTCAGCAAGGTACCTGCTGGCATCCACGGGCACACAAGTCACTAACAGCAGCAGGTCTCCCAGAGCCAGACTGGAGATGAACAAGTTAGGGACATTTCTCATGGATTTCACAGTACAGAAGATCTTAATCAAAGTGATATTGCCAATAAGGCCTATCAAAATAATGATCCCGTAGATCGTGGGGATGGCATAGAGGAACGCTGGGTAGAACCACTCATCACCGAGAAGGGAGAGGTTTGCACTCTGGTTGACAGAAAGGTTGTAGAGAATGAAATTATCTGTTTCTAGGTCTAGCAGAAGGCAGTCTTCAGATGCCATTGTCCTATGTTGCTCTTCTCAGAAGACAGCTTTCTTCTTGGGAAATCATCAAATAAATTTTTGGCTTTAATTTTGCTTCTGCTTGCTGGCTTTATACAGTCAGAAGAGTCTAAAAGTCATATCACTTTGTGACAGAGCTTGACAATAAACAAACCAAAAAGCAGCTGCAGCTTGCACAACAATACTGTTTCCATAAGGTGAAAGGAGAATGTCTTCTAGCATAGTTTGAATCCTGAAAGTTGCCTTTTGACTTGTCTTGCTGTCAGGTGTTCCTCAGCTCTGGAATGCCATTTGTCAAATTCAAAGACCAGTAAGTGGGAGGCATTTTCTCAGTGGAGGCTTGCTAAATTCTCAGCTCCAGGTCTGCTGAGCTGGAGTCCAAAACAAGGGAATTACAAAAAGCAAGAACTTTTGGTAGCTGTTGTCACTCTGCATTGCCAGCCTCTCCCTCTTTCAGCACCTGTGCTCGCCAGCTGGATTTAAAGTGAGGAAAAAGCAGGGTTCCGCTGACAGCTCGGATCCTATAGGCGGGATCTTTTGGACGTCAATTCTTCCCTTGCTTCCCAGGATGAGAGCAGGCTTACTGAAATGACTGCGGTAATTCCAGGCAAGCGCCGGAGAATGCCAGCCACCTACCGGAGAGTCTAATCACTGCCGGGGAGCAGGGAGTTAGAAAACACACCAAAATCACTGTTAACTCTTTAGATGGTAAAGAAAAGGAAATAATAATTAAAAAAATCTGCTCATTTATAGCTCCTGAGGTGAAATTCACTGCTTCTCTCTCTTCCCCACCCCCCAAGGAAAAAAAAGAAAAAGAAAGGAAATAACTAGTTCATACTGCAAATAATGTGATCATAAAAGGAATTGCACACATACTTTACACTCTGGTTTGCACTCTGGAGTTCAATCGTTCCAATGGAAGAGAATAATTATATGGAGCCAAGTTCATCCCCTCAGTGCAAATTAACTAAGTAAAGCCAATTAAGATAAAATCAGCATTATAGTTAAGGAAGGCAAATGAGTTTTAGCACTATGCACCTGCAGTTGACCAGGGAAGTCTGAACTCTGCACACCTTTTTTATATGTTTTAGTTTGGGGGTAAGAATAACAAAGGAGACAAAACTTACCATTCAATGTGATCATTTCTTCGTATGAAGTACTCATCACACTGGCATCTATAGGTAATGCATATTGAGATGCAGGATAGAGAGATTTGCTTGGCTTTTAACAGTTTCAAAATGTTATTTCTTAGAGCTTAATTAAGATATAACTATTACTGATGCCTTACTTCTTTATAACAGGCTATTTACTATTATATACAAGGACTTTGCAGAGAAATGCAGTTAATTTGTAAACAAGCCTGCAGAATTAAATGAAGCTGTAATTTACACCTCCCCTTGCAACTGCTCGTGTTTGTAGACAAAAGAATGTTTTACCAACTGCTAGAACTACTTGGAAGTGAGGGGGGAGATGTTTGAAATCAGGCATTAAACTATGATCACTGGTTTTTAGATAAAGAAGGCATTTCAGGACATGATTTGGAAAAATCCCCAAGTGCTTGGGAGCCATGTCCAATGGTGGGATTCTGAGCAGGAGGCTTCAGTAGCTGTTTTTCTGCCTCATTCTTGTGACCCAGGTCAGTGTTTTCAGCTGCTTTGCTGCTGTTCACTCTAAGTCAACAAAGGACTTATGTGTACCCTTAACTTTAAGTAGAGCTACTGAGATATTTTTTTCAAGCCAAACACCCAAGAGAATGCTGTTCTGAGAGCTCAAAGGAGCAGAGGAGAAGCCAAATTTTCCGGTATTAATTTCAGACAAAAGCCTAGTTTTAAATATAACCCTGAGATTGCCACTGTTAAAAGCAGAGGACTCAGAGCTACTGTGCACAGTCTGATCAGGCAAAAGTGCTTCTGCAGGTCAGGGCCAGCCTTGTGCAAGGCTGCCTGGTTGGGTAGAAGCCAGCCAGAGGCAACACCATGTCTGGCACAGCAGGAGGTACCACAGGCATGGAGAGGTATCATGTAGCTACTGAAGCAGCTGAGGCACAGCATCCTGTAGGAAACCTCTCCAGTACTTCCCACAGGATGCTTAGGAGTCTGTGAAGAGGGGCTGCATGACAAAGGGAAGCATGCTTCCCCCTCTTTACTTTCCAAGGCTTGGGGTAAAGCAGAAAGGACATGGCTGGAAGAGAGAGGGAGAAGTGGGAGCAGAAGTGTAATCCTGATGGACCCTGTGCCCAGAAGCCTGGTTGGTGGTTAACAGTGACCTGCTCTGAGTGGGAGCTGGGACCAGAGACCTCCCATTGCCCCTTCCCATTCAAATGACTTGGTGATTTTGGGTTTCTGGAACTTGCTACTCAAAGACATAGCAGCTTTAGCTCTCATTGTGAGCATTTATTCTTCCAGATGGACAACAAAATAGTCTGTTTGCCAAAACCCCTCTAATAGAACCACTACAGCATCATATATCACCGTTCAAACTCTTCTATACTGAAATCTCTTGTACTGTTAAATAGTGAACTATGTGGGATGAGCAAGGCAAGGAAATGTTGGAACCAATTCTTATCTTTCAGCAGACAGTGGCATTGGTCACTCTTCTTTTGAGGTGAGTGTAGGCATATCACCTTATCCCAAGCGTCTCCATCAGTGACAGTAGGGTCTCTCATGACATCTGGAAAAAATCACATTGCCTTCACCTTTTCCAGGCTGATATTTAATTCCAGGAAGCACTTCAAGTCCCCAGCTACAGCTCTCTAATTTTTGGTTTTGACAAACCCAGGCTTCAAGTGTTTGGGCCTTTTGGCCACAGAGAATGAGAAATTGAAAAAACAAATGCAGAAAAGGAGATAAAAATAACAACAAAAAACCCTAACAGATCCTTGAAGCTTGAAACTTAGTTTAGATTATAAAAAAATCCATTATTTATGTCAGACATAATGGACTGTTTCAGGTTTTATTTGCAATTGCCTAGGCTGCAGATGTTCCCCAGAACTAACTTAGAAATGTTAAGGTTGTTTCCCAGAGGTGTTTTTGTCTTGCCATAAATTGCATAGGAGAGGTTTTGTTTATTATAAATGGTGTACCTTTTTCATTATGCCACCCTAGCGTTTATCTTCCCTAAGAAGGCAAAATGGGCATTTTTATGAGCATGGCCACCTCTGCTGTAGTGCTCATTTCAAGCTCCCAAGCCTCTCTCCAAAGGAAGGTAAGCATCAATACCCATATTTCACCAGTGGAGTAACCTTCATGCACACACACAAAAAAGAAGTGACTGGCATAAAGTTACTTAACAGGCTATTGGCAGAGTTGTGAATAGAATAGTGCAGGTCTTCTGAGCCTGGTCATGCATTATAATGGTTTTCCACTGGACGATGAGAGATTCCACAGATACTTTCAATAGATGCTCTTTTTTCAGCTCTCAACCTTTATCCAGCATCTAAATGACAGCTACAAAGAGACAATCTTCTCACTCCTTAACTGTGCACAACGGAGTAGATTTGGAAAAGAGGTCAATGGGTAACATTTTCAAAAGCAGTTAAACCAATTTGAAAGGTAATGAAATTTAAGCTCATGAACTCACCACCCAGAAATGGAGCCAGAGTTTCAAACAAATGCTGTCTGCATTGAGAAAAATACACAAGGACCCATTTTTCAAAGGCACTTGGAGAGATGCAGCTGCCACAGTGGCAGCTACAGGCGGATTTCCAAAGGGACCAAACACTCAGTGTTGTGAGGTCTTTTGAAAGGCACGGATCATTGGTTCTACATATTTAAATGGACTTCTTTTGAAAATCTAGTGCAACAGAGGGGTTCTCAGCCCCTGTGAGGTCCCATGGGAGATGCTCTTGTGATGGGTGCTGGAGCACACTGCCATGGCCACCTGCAGACTTTGAGGCTGGCTGATGTTGTCACAGCCACTGCCTTGGAGGGCAGGAGCACTCCGGCTTCACCAGGGCAGGCAGCCCATGCAGCATCCTCCACACTAGGCACCTCCAACACCAAGGGGACAGGGGGAGTTATGGCAATCATCTTTCAGAGAGTATGGCTCTTTGACAAGTGTGTCCTGTTTGTTACCTTGACACAAATTTTGTTTGCCTCTTGAATATGTCCTCAGACAAGATGGAAAAACTCCCTTCCACAGCCAAGTATGAGGAGAGGAGTCCCTCTGCTCAGGGTGCTGCTGTTCCCTGATAATTGAATTACTGGGGGTAGGAGCCAGTGAACCAGGGATTACTCCCTGATGAGCTTACAAAGTGTGACATCCACTGGTATATGAAACATCCTGGCCCTGCTGACTTATCAAATATATTCCTGCATACTGCTCATGTCCCAGAGGAAACAAAGTGGTGGAAAACATCCCACCTATAATCACTTCAAGCAAATTCTTCATTTTTACTGCCTTCCCCCCTGCCTTCTTATATCCCACTCCATGTCTCAGTTCACTACTCTGTTTCAGTCACCAAAGTTAACAATAACTGTTCACAACAGGATAATTTTCTAACCCAGTCCATTCTAGGGATCTGATTTGCATCAGATCTTCACAGACGGTTGATTACATTAAATTATATTTTTTTTTATTTTTATTTTTTTTTTTTCCAGTGACTTGGGCTCCTACCTGCATGACTGGAGGTCAGAGGGGCTGTGGAGGGAGCTGAATACAACTCACAGTGTAACAGGTAAAAGTTCCCTGACTGAATACTATGTGCTGGTTCCTTGCATGTGTAAAAATGGAAATGAAACATTGCCAAATTTTGTCCTCTGTCGCATGGCTTTACTGATGCACAGCCTGTACTACAAATGCAGATGAAGCTACACAATGTGAAGCGCTTCCACTGTGCCTTTGAAAATAGCTTATTCATCCTAAATTGGACAACTCCTTCAGTTTGTTATTGAACTTCATAAGTCTCCTACTCACTCCCAGCATCTCATCATGACACACAATCATCAAAAACTGACACAGCTGGAAGGGATATCTGAACTTCATAGCACCTAGGATGCATGCTCACAGAGAAGGAAGTATTTGAAGGAGAGGCCATGCAGATACTTATTTACAGGAACCTCCTGCCAGGCTTGAAGAATAACACAACCATTACAGCATCTGAAAATGCAGTGAGAGAATAAGGTTGTATGGCAGACCAGTTAGGATCAAGGAACCAGCCTGCACCTGGCAAAAGAGGGATGAAAAGGGCCTGAGAATTAAGAAAGCTGCCTGCATGGGATGCTCTCAAGGAGGGGACATTTGGAAAAGATGCACAAAGAGAGCTGGTGTAAGCTGATTGTAAAGAAAAGGAACTTGGCAGCAGCCCTCTGTGAAAATCAGATGAGCATCATTGCTTTTTTCAAGAGCAAATAATTCTATAGTAAGCATGATATGAGATAGTGTGCATGTGAGCAAGAAACCTTCATTAGTTATAAAAGGGATAAGCTACATCCCACATGCTTCGTGCAGAACCTCCCTGCAAGACAGATAGACCTGAGAATGCAGCCAGAGGAGCAAGTAGAAAGTAAGTTTGTAACCATGCTGGGCACCTGCTGGCAACAAATCATTCCCACCGAAACATTGCAGGATAAGATTCCCATTCTGATACATGGAGGCAAAGCC